GTGCACACCTGGGGAGGCAATGTGGCGAACAAGCATTGACTAGTTTCAACAGCAGCCAAAAAGCTTAAGTCTTTCTCCTGCTGTGATAGCAAATTGGACAGTGTTATTGGAAAAGAAATTATAAAGTGATATCCTTTGACCAGGTCTGTGTAGCTAAAGTAGTTAACAGTGGAAAATTATCTGATGCATCATTAATCGCCTGCCTGCTTTCCAACCAAGTTAGACCCATAATAAAATAAGAGTATTATCCTGAAATTGATCTTGGTAGTTTGGGCTCTTTCAAAGACTGTTAAAGATCACTTCGGTTGCCTTAAAAACTACCCATCATATTTTGGTATTAAAAAACATTTCCCTATTACAAAAGACATAGAATTTTAAAGTATAACACATCTTTGATGTTATATGAATGCATGTAAAATGATCAGAACATGGTTTTATATGCACTTGTCCTAAACTTGTCCTTCCAAGCTCAGAATTATCTAGTTTCTATGTAATTATGCTCTTAGTAAGGTTGATTTAAACATCCTAAACAGTAGTGTTGGAGGAAGTGTCTCTAGGAATTTTTCTTAATTGCATAGCAACCATTACTTATCGAGAACTGATTTATTGGAAACCTATTACATTTGAGGCCTGGGGTAAGTTCTGAGGGTGGATACAAATATAAGTAAAATGCAGTTTCTGCTTTTATCAGGGAATATTTTTAGCTTAGCTGATGTAACAAATGAATCTCAGTAATTTTTTCCTTTTGGGAGGTTTTGAAATCACTACTGGGATGACACTAGGAACACAATCAAACACAGAGCTATTCACCACCTAGTATGTGCAAAACACTATGACAGTTGGGAACTTCAAGAAGATTAAGGTTTTGTCTTTGCTGTTAAAAGGAGAAAGACAGGCTCAAGCAGACTATGATAATAATAAGAGCAAAGGAATAGCAAGGGCTGCAGGAACACAGTTCAGAAACTACGGATGAACGAAACAGGAAATGTGGGTGTGGCATGTTATTATATTAGATATAAAATTATATACATAATTAATTTCTGATTTATTATTTAATGATATAATCAATGTAGTAAAGCTAGAACATACTTTGGAGATCAATACAAGGTAGTTATAATTCTGACTCTGGCATAGAAGATTTTATTTCTTTTAGCTCAGTTTCCATACCTATAAAATTCTCATGATAATAGCACCTTTGGTGTTGAGAAGATTAAATGAAGTAGCATATGGAAAGAGCTAGTAGGCCTTCAATAAACAGAATTATTGTATCTCTGTTTTTTGCTCTTTGGAGAAAACCCATTCACTGCGAGCAGTTCTCCACAAAATATACCCCTTGATCTGTCCATCCTCCATCCTGTTGGCTCCATCCCTAGTCCAGGTTATTGTCATTTCTCAACTGGGCCAGTGTGACGGCCTCTTCTAAGAGCCTTTCTCATATTCTTGCATCGTTAAAATATGCTGTCCATATAACTTTCAGGGTGATTTTGTGAAAAATATAATTCAGATCATATAATTTCCTTACTTCGAACCCTTGATGATTAGGGGATATGTTGAGTCACGCTTTGTATCACAACCCATGTGCAGGGGCAGAGTTATGCTAAATATGAGAGAGAAAAAACTTGGGGGAAAGAACACAGGAACAATGATTAACCTCTGTATGCATTTGCTCAGGCTGCCATAACTAAGAACCACAGACTGGGTAGCTTAAACAACAGCAAGTTTATTTGTTTCAATTCTGCAAGCTCGATGCCCCAAATCAAGGTGTCAGCAGGTTTGGTGTCTTGTAAGTCCTCTATCTTCTGTTCATAGACAGCATCTTTTCCCCATCTTTGCATGGTCTTTCTTCTCTATGTTCCTGTGTCCTAATCTCTTCTTTTAAGGACACAGCTCACATTAGATTAAAGCCCTCCCCAGTGACCTCATTTTAATTTAATTCTGTTTTTAAAAACCCTAACTCCAAATAGGGTTGCTTTCGGAGGTACTAGGGGTTAGGACTGCGATGTACAAATTTGGGAGGACCATGATTCTACCCATGACAACCTCTTTGTGTGTCTCCCATCTGTCCCTGCCACATCTACAAATTTTTCCCCATGTACTTTTAACATCTGTCACTATAACATATATGATAAACATGGTGCTTAAAAGATGCCACTTTCAGAATGTGGGGTAAGTCTCTGTCCACTCTCCCTAGTTCTTGCTCCACGTGGCTTTCAGTTCTTTTCATTCTCTCCTTGACTTGCTTTACTCCAACTCGGCTGGCCTTTTTCTGGTCCTTGAACACACTAGGATATTTTCTGCCTCTGAGATTTTCCCCTGAAGTTTTCTGTGCCTGGAATGTAATTATTTCAGCTCTTTCTATGGTTTATGCTCACCCCCCCAGGTCTCAGTTTAAAAATCACTGCTTGGAAGAGTGGCTAAAAAATCAAGAGTGGCTTTCCCAGTCTCTCACACAATTACCAGCCCCTTTTGTTCCCTTTCAGATGACAGTATTCTGCCATTCAGTATATTTCTTCATTGTACTCTGACTCCTCCAATATCATGTTAATGCCATGATCCAGGGAACTCGTGAGTGTCCTTCACCACTGTCAGCACCAGGGCCTAGCATGGAACTGGGCACACCGCAAGTGCTCACTCAGTGAATGTTTACTGAGTGAACATGTGAATTAAATCGCTTTACCAATCATATGATTTTAGGGTTTCACTCAATCTCAAAGATTTGGAAGGTCATATAAAGCAAATACTTAATAATGGCACAAATAGCAAGGTTGAAATTTTGAACACAAATGGAATCACTATACTGCAAGAAGAATTAGTATGAACCCACACACCTTGAAGTAAATTTGTAAGGAAAAATATCATTGGCTTAATTCCTCCCTCTCCTACGCTTTCCCCACCCCCTAACGACACCTGTGGTATTCATGTTATGATACAGGGCCCAGTTTGGTAAATACTATTTTAAAAAACAAATGCGCACCCTCTGTAAACTAGAGTAAAATGAACATCCCTAGGAACCTACGAGACAGGCAAGTAGTCAGGCTCCATCATGGACCTATGTGATCAGCAAGTCTGGGATGAGGTCAACAATCTATGTTTTCACAAGGCAACCAGGTGACTCTGATCCAGTAGAGTTTGAGAACCCCTCCCCTAAATGAATCTTCAAAGTAATTTTTGATTTTTTAAGAATCTTGTCAGACAGTCCAATTGTCTGTACATACTCAACTTTAATTGTTCTAAGTAACTTATCTCTTCTTCTCTTGACTCAGACTGTGAAATAGTGTTTTTAATACATTAGTAATTGTTCTTAAGAAATTAGTGGATGATTACTTCCACCCTTGAACCACTTGGAGTAAAATCTCCATCTTCCAAGGTTCAACACACATCACCTGCTTTTTAGATTATTTATCTATGCCTGGAACAGTTTGGCTCTAATACATTATTACTACTCTATTTTTCCTGTTTCACAGTGCTCATTCCATAAAAATTCAATTAACTTCTCATGCTTTCTCTGTTTTTCAAAGACGCTATTTTTAAAAAATGTGAACTCATGACAGATCAGCCTGATCTATGCTTTTTCTCTGACTTTACTTCCTAAGGATGTGTTTTCCTTAGGATACTTATTTAAGAAAGAATTTTCTTGTTTTCCTTCAAAGTATTTTTCTTTCTGTAGCTGAGCCTTCATCCTAAAGAGGGAGAAATATTCTGATTCATTTTCATGAGGATGACTTCAGACCTAGGGCATTAAGCTATACCAACTTCTCTTTGTCTTTTTTGGCATAAGTCCATTTGCCCCACCAGTATCCAAAGAGAGTAGTCCATCTTGATAGCATGTTATTTTTTTCTAGTATGGAGTATAGCCCCTGGTCATATGGTATTATAAACCATCATTTAAGGAAATGATGTTCAAGAGGGCAACAATTTTTATCTTTATTAGTAATAAAAGGCTATATTATATATGCTAATAACTGCTATTATTATTGAGAACATTTTGTCCTAGTGACTGAGAAAAGGGATTTACATATATTATTTCAGTTAACACTCATTAAAACATTTACCTATGAGGATATATGACTTGGCCAAGTTTAAACAATTAAAAAAGTTTTAGAGCCAAACTTGAATTCCAGAATTCCTGATTTTAAACATCGTGCTAAATCCAGATTGTGCAAATTTTCATTTATCTAAAATCTGTGTCAGTTCATGGCCATGAGGCCAGACACACCCATATATTTGTTCCTTATTGAAGGGGCAGTCTTATTTAAGTCTAGGAAGGAATCGTAGTAGTGGCCATTATCACACACAATGAGAAGCTACTACTTAATATAGAACTTCCATGAAAGACTCTCTGTGTGCAGTCTCATATGAGCAGTTTCATTTGATTCCTATCAACAATCTTGCTTTATAAGTGTGGTTGCTGCAATTGAGGGGTTAAGTAATTTGCTCAAGATCACACAGCTTTTAGGTGGCAGAGGATCCCAGTCACCAGGGATGGCCTGTCTATTGTTAAAGGTGACATGAATCATTTCTGTGCCTAAGTTATTTGCCAGTTTCTCAGCTGTCCAAAGATGCCTTTCTTACAGCCATTATGTTTTTTTCTCCTCCTTTCCTTATGACTTAGTTCCTTCTCTTTAAAAGCTCACTTCTGTACTGAAAGGCCAATGGGATGATGGGCTATAAAAAATCACAAAGGCTCAAGCTTTTGTTCTCTGCACTGTCTGTCTTGACAGTGCCTGGGGGTGATGTATCTTTGGAGACACAATTTCCTGGTAAGTAATTGGTTATTTTTTTGTTTTTTTTTGTTTGCTTGTAAGTAAACACTGCTTTCTGGTTTGGTTGTTCTTTTGTCTACATTTTTTTTTGTAGAGATGCATTATCTCACTGAAAAATTAAGATGCTTGTAAAAATATGAAATATCATGCCTGTATTTACTCTTGAATGATCAAAATCCATGTTCCCTGTCAGATTGGCAATTACTTTTTCACACTTATTTACTTCATACCCATTAGGTCCGGTTACAGAAGTAAAAACTGACATATACGTCACCAGCTTTGGACCTGTTTCTGATGTTGAAATGGTAGGTCGTTAGAAAACTTAATGTACTTTTTGAGGTTTAAAGAAAGAAGCAGAAAAGAAGGCAATTAGTGTATATTTTTGCTGAGTCACACAAAGTTAGAGCTAGAAAGTCAAAGAACAGCCAAATTAGACTCAGAGGTTTATAAGAAGTAAGACATTGAACTTGCATTTTAGCTTTAATGTTGGAGTTTTTTTGGTAGTAGTCTCCATGACACAACATCACATGCAGTGTTTTTTCCCTTAGAAAATTATTGAAGAGAATAAACTTAGTGCCTGTTATTAATTTTGGTATGGCCCTTTATGTTATAGTACTAATTGCATATAATGTTCCACGTTGGCTCAATTGCGCATGCCGCAACCCCATCTACCGCTCCTCTCCCTTGCTTTCTCTCATGTTTAAGGAACCCAGAACACCAGACTATAGTCAGGATAAATTCATCCATTCAGTTGTGTTCTCTAATATTAAATATGTTTCATTGCAAGGTCCAATAGCCCACTTCATTTTTTCCCATGCAGAGTCAAACCCATTTCATAAATGTTATAGTATAAAATTTCTTTTTCATGTGTTACTTTGTCTTAAAGAGATGCTTACAAATTTATGATTTATTGTGTAATGATACTTGTTACACATTAACTAATTTTGTTACCAGGTCTAAAGTAAAGTACAACTGTAATTACCTGGTGCTGGCAGTTTTATTAAATTATAGTTGTTATTTTTGAATGATTAATATGTATGGTAATTTATCTAAAAGTGTGGAAGATTAAGGTATCAAGATGGATATGACATGCTTTCATTGCTGAGAATACTTTTGTTTCATTGATTTAAGAAAATTTCTGCTCCCATGAATTTAGTTTTAATTCGGGCAGTCTGTTTCATGAGTGGGAAAGAGGCTAGCATTGAATGCACTTTTTGCACATTTATGTGCAATTGCCTGTGATTTGAATGTGTCATGAACTAATTTCCCTAGGAGTACACGATGGACGTGTTCTTCCGACAGACATGGATTGACAAAAGACTAAAATACGACGGGCCCATTGAAATTTTGAGATTGAATAACATGATGGTAACAAAAGTATGGACCCCTGACACTTTCTTCAGGAATGGGAAGAAATCTGTCTCACACAATATGACAGCTCCAAATAAGCTTTTTAGAATTATGAGAAATGGCACTATTTTATACACAATGAGGTAGTTGTTTTTCCTTTTTTCCTTTTTATCTTTTTTTCTCCCTCTCCCTCTCCCTCCCTGCTTGCCTATCTGCATTCCTTCCTTCTTCTTTTTCTTCATTTTGGGATCTATAATTTTATTTTCAGAAAAAGAGTTGATTCCAATTGTATTTTTTCATCATAGACTCACCATAAGTGCGGAGTGTCCCATGAGATTGGTGGATTTTCCCATGGATGGTCATGCATGCCCTTTGAAATTTGGGAGTTGTAAGTTACAATAAAAATGTTGTTAGAATTAATGATTATCTCGTGTAAGCTGATAATTATATATTTGCATGATTTTCCTTAATCTAACATTTAACTTTTTGTCCATGACAACAACTGTCCAAAATATGCCTTTTAGGAGACTGTTTGTTATCTACTATTTTTAAATAAAAAAGTAAAAACAATTCCCCCCCCCACCAAAAAAACAAACAAACCTTACTTCTTCAGATAGCCTAGGTAGACTGACTGGGCTACTAATCATCAGTGGTGGAGTTTAGGGAACTCTGAGCTTCTTGGTTGGTGGTGTGACATAGCAAGTACAAATAATTTTGCTCATTTCGTTTTGTTCTGTCACAAGCAGAGTCCTTAATGGACGAGTTGAGATAAAAAGGCCAAAGACGATTCAGGGCTTCTTGACATAGCATAGATTAGAATCATATAAGCAGCATTGTTAGTTTCAAAGTGGCTAAAGCATGACAAAAGCATAGTAGATGTGTGGTCTGATTTGTAGACAGAACCAGGCAACACAGTGCCTTTGGATGGTTTAAATAAGGGATATGGCCTTCTGTGACTGACATGTCCCAGTTTCACACCAGCTCTTTATGGAGAATGGATTGTAGAGAGGCTGGAGCAGAAGCTGAGAAGAGTTGGAGGCTCCTGATTTAGTACAAAGATGGCGGTGGCTTAGACCTCGATTGCACTAGAGCGGAAGCTGGGAGATAGATGGATTTGGTATCTATTGTGGGGGTGAAGCCAAGGGGGTGAAATGAATTTGTAAGAAAGAATATGGAATTCCTTTCCCCTAAACACCCTTCTCTGAGATGGCAGTGAAATTTGATTGCCTCTTCTAATGTCTGCCTCAAATACTTGATTTAATCAGAATCTGCCAAAAATAGATGCCGGTTTTTACTATTGCTTCAGATTCTTAGTCGTGCTGATTGTGAAACTTGCCTGCTGTTATCATTGCTCACTGCTTAACTTAACGGGAATCAGCAGTCAGCATTCTTTTTATAACTTCTGGTAAGCACAATATTCATGGACTAACTTGAAGCTAAAGGCAGTCACTTGCTCCCTGACCAGTGACTTACTGAGAGAAGATAAAAACAGAAAATGAATGGAGAGAAAGGTGATCTCTGTGCGGCCAGAATTAAAATCCATTTGTGCTATCATAATTTAGATTTCACCCAGATAGTCCTTATCTAGGGTTTTATCTTTCCCACTCATTCCCCCCCTCTCCCCTCCCCCACTTCCATCCCCAGTCCTCATAGAAAGCACTCTTCAGAGTGATTTGAAAATAGTTTGTGCTCAATAAGGACATGCTCAAATAAAGAAATTACTCCTTGCAAGTTGATGTTTAGGGGCTGGGAATTAAAATGAGGAGTACATACTTTGATCACCTTTACCCATTTCACCCACCTCCACCCCCATCCTCAAATATTGAATTATTAAGAAAAAGATTATTATAGCAAGGTAGGCTAGGCCAGAGAAGGCCACCTAACTTAAAATATCATGGGCAGGAACATAGTATTTGGGGACTTGAAAAATATGATTAAGCATGAATATACTTCCAGAGATCAATGGTCACATGTATCTCTACACTGCACTGCTCAATTACAACACAAGCCTCATAGTTTGTTTTGCTAAATCATCTGTGAAAATAGTTTCCATAGGTATCAAATCCTTTTGTAGAATTAAACAATTCCACTGAGGAACTACTGTGCTCCAGCCATTTTAGGGAGGCTCCTGGAGGGTAGTTTTGTACCCTCCAAGGGGTTCTTGGTTCTTTTGAACTTACGTGTGTGTGAGCAAAGCTCTCTGTTCTGAGTAGACTGGTAAGCAAGCAGCTGGTCTCCTTTTGCATTGGACATGGAATAATAGAAGATGGGCTTAAATTGCTGCTGGGAGGGATGGCTGAAGACGGAAGGGAAAATGTCCTGATTGTAAGGTTTCAAAGGTAGTGGATCTGGTTGTGTAATTTTATTCCCTGGAGAGCTTTACGCACAGCATAGCCAGTTATCACTGTAACACCATTCCCAAACAGCGTGGGTATTGCCCAAAGGCAGAGGCTGGAATAGGTGACTCCTGCAGAACTTTCCCAACAGTAGAACTTATTTTTGTTGTTGTTGTTGAATTATAGGTAGCATTTCATATGTTTCTACTTAGCAGAGCTGAATTAGAATTGAAGAAGTTAATATTGTTGAAGCCCTGGAAGTGAGTTGGCATGGAAATCAGTAGTAGTTTGACTGCCTTTTTTGGGGGGTTATTATTTCTGCTTTTCAACTTCTTATCATATGGAAACATATTCATGTGCATGGATGCAGATATAGCATTTTAGTGGCTTTAGTCTCTCCAATTTTTTGGCTTAAAAACAAGAAGTATGTAGGCTGTTTATTTCATCTCTTCAGTGTTCTAAATCATAAATATGTTGAAATAAATCACAATAATTATTGCTTTCATTTATTCCATCTTTCTCGAACAAGTATAATATTTTTAAGTGTTGTCCATCTCTCAGTGCTGATGACAAAGGAGCACTGACTCTAACCACATCCTGTGTTCTTACTCAGATGCTTACCCGAAGAGTGAGATGATTTATACCTGGACAAAAGGTCCTGAGAAGTCAGTGGAAGTTCCGAAGGAGTCCTCCAGCTTAGTCCAATATGACTTGATCGGGCAAACTGTATCAAGTGAAACCATCAAATCCATTACGGGTGAGATGTTTAATGATTAAAGTCAGCATGTTGCTTAGCATTGGCCATGGAGTTTTCTCCTAGCTTTTTCATGGCAAAATCTAGCAGGGGTGTCCAACCTGTGGCCCGTGGGCTGCACGCAGCTCAGACTGGCTATGAAAGTGGCCCCACACAAAATCGTACCTTTACTTAAAACATGATCAGTTTTTTGGTGATTACGTGTCGCAATGTACTTAATGTGTGGCTCAAGACAACTCTTCTTCTTCCAATGTGGCCCAGAGACACTGAAAGGCTGGACACTCTGGTAATGCTTTCAAGGGACAACAGAGAGATTTGAGTAGAAGTGATGCCTAAATCACAGTTCAGAATTTTTTAAATTATAATTATACTCTTAGATTAAAATAAATTCTGAATTACTTAGGTGTGAGTTGGTTTTCTTGAGGAAAAAATCAGTAATTCATTTTATTAAAATTATTTTCAACAGAATTCTGAGCCGGGAAGTCTGACCAGTGACTTTTGGACACTAGATTCTCTTCTTTCTGTGGTGCTTTCCCAAAATCTTTTTTTAAGAAAATCTTGCTTCACAAAAGTAAAAGCAAAATATAAACTTAGTTACAAAATACCTTGAGGGTAAATGTTTAAGCTGTCACATGTGTGGGTGGATGATTATCATTGATAATTTTGAGTGCATATTTGATTTTAAAATGTGAATGGAAAGATTTATAGGATTTAATTTTTACCCTCTTTAATGGGAAAAATTGGCTGATTATTGTTTGTTCTGAAAGTGTTTTTTTCTTTTACAATATTGCTAGGGGAAAAATAGTTTTTGGAAACACTCAATTATTAGCCTGCAGGTGAAATGGAAAACAAGTGGGAGTTGAGACTTCTGGATCTCGGTTGCACAGTCCGAGAATGAGGCTACTGACTCCTACGTCACTCTCTTAATATATTCCCTTTAGTCTTCACATTAAACATACTTAACAACAGCTGCCAGAAGTCTTATGGTTTGTTTTCATTCCTAGTTTTTTAGATTTTTATCTAAGTGCCAATAAAACATTGTTGAATTTGGGGATATTATACAGGGTCCAGCACAAATAATGCCCCTTTTTATTACAAAATTATAAGCAATTCTATAACATATGAATATCACACTCAAGCACACCATAAGGCATTTTAGGTGAAATGCTCATATTAAAACTATAAATTATTATACCCATATTATTACCCTACCAACCACATTCGAGCAGGCTTTATTTCTGCTGGACCCTCTATATGGCTGTATGTTATACATGTCTCTTTATTTTTCCTTTCTATAAATAACATTTAGAAATGCAGCTCTTTCCTAAAGCTAAGTCAGAAAGGCAGCATATGTATATATAATGTATACCTGTGTATTTCATTTTTTAAAAACATTTAAGCTTTATGTGTGTGTACATATCCATTTCCACTGATTTTTGATAAAAGTTAGATTAAATTTTCTCTCAAAAGATGCTGAACATGAAGGCTAATTTTTCCACATTGCTAGCCCTTTAAAATAAGGAGCACTGTAAGAATATTTAACAAGCTATAACTTACTTCCTTAAATTCCTTAACAACTGTGTAGAATATATTTCTCCATGTTTGTTTGCTGTGTAGGACAGATCCTTTCTTTGCCTGGAACGCTTTTTTTGGCCTGAAATATGAATATGAAGCCATTGAGTAACTGGCTGCAGATCCAGTAACACATTTTCGTCATGTTTTATTCGTAGGTGAATATATTGTTATGACAGTTTACTTCCACCTCAGACGGAAGATGGGTTATTTTATGATCCAGACGTACATTCCATGTATTATGACAGTGATTCTTTCGCAAGTTTCCTTCTGGATAAATAAGGAATCAGTTCCAGCTAGGACTGTATTTGGTAATTGCAATTCATTTCTTGGGTATTTTTGTTCACATTACATTTTGCTTGTGATTTCATGGGAATAGCTCTCAGGTATAATTTCTAAGAAAATATTAAACAGTAATATATCAGGCTATGCTGAGTAAAGAATCGTATAAGCTTTCATTTTTTTAATCTAGCCAATACAAAGTAGTAAGGCTTGAGGGGATATGGGCAATTAATTCCTTCTTCTGGCCCAGTTTCCTCTTCCTGAGACCAGGCCAGTAAAGATCAAGTGTGAATCTGGATATAATTTCATGTTTGGTGGTGGTCTTAGGCTCCTAGCCTAATGCTGTGTAAGTGAATTGAAGTTATATGTTGTTATTAAAAGAAAATACACTGGGAGCCTAAAATAAAGCAAATAAAATTCATGGCTGAATGAATATGAAAGCCAAGAATCATTTGCTTTTTAATGAACAAGAACAAAAGGTTTAAATGCATGGAGTTGAAATGTATTATATGCTTAGCTTATTAGTTCATCGTTATGTTCTATCTACATTTTTTCCTTAACTCAACGTATTTATTTTTAAAGTGGCTTTTCATATATTATATTCTAAACTACACGAAGTCCAGAACATACAAGTTTTAACTTTTTATAGCTGTTAAGTAAGTCTTTTACATATCAGTTGGGCTTTTAAAATAAAGTTGGGCTTTAAATAAAGTTAGTGATGCTATTTATTTGCTTAAATGTATTTCTCCATTTTTTCCTGTTGATTGTGAATAGCAAAATCATTCAGTAGTGGTATGGGAAGGAAAGCAATTAGAATTTCTCTGGAATGGAGGTGCAGTTCACACAAGAGATCTCTATTAATCTTCCCATGCTTGTTCACTTGGTAGGATCAGAGCAGCCAAGGTGTAGTAGCCCTAATCACGAACAACAGAAAGGGTGCTTGCAATAAGGACTTAGGAAGGGTGGTGGGAGCTTCTCATCCCACCTCCCCATCCAGTTAGAGAACTGATAAAAATGTTATCTTGGTGTGTTCAGTGGACTTGAATGAGGGGATATTTTCAATAGACAGCCCCCAACACGCACATACTTTTCATCTTGGAAAAGGTATTGAAATTCTACTGGAGAAATGCGCAGAAGGGTCAGCTCAGGGGAGGGCAGGATATGACCTTAGGAAGGCGGTGGGCGTGTGTAATGGCATAAACTACTTCACAGAGTTGTGAGGGTTCAGTTAAAGAATAACAGCACTTTGGAGTCATTGAATAAATTTTAACTGTGAAAAAAAGGTGTGAAAGAGAGAAAACAACAAATCCCAGTTTTGGACTACAATAGGTTGGGATTTAAAACTTGAATAGGAACTTATTTTCTTTATCCATAAAATTGTGAAAATGCATCTCTTCTTCGCAGACTAGTGAGACTTTAGATCTTGTGGCAGACTCGCACCGGGCAGGCTTAGACCATGTTAGTGACTCTCCCATACCTCCCGTATGTAGGGGCGGTTAATCTTGTTCCCACTTGATTTCCTTGATTTTTTATTGTTTTCAAAGAAAACATTGTTCTATTGTGTGGGAACAGCCCTGGGCTAAGTTATCGCATTTATCTCATTTAGTGCTCACACTAACGTTTTTACACCTCATGTTCAGAAGTGGCCTGACTGGACAGGAAGTACCTGCTGAGGCTGAGCACCAGATCAAGTCTCTTAGAGGCTCTACAAATAATATTAACATGTCAAGAACTATAGTCATTAAAAAGTAAAAATAAAATCACTTGCATATATATTATTTTCATTTTTCTATGGCCCTAAAGAACTTAGAACAGAAAATACTTAGAACAGAAAATACTTAGAAAATACTGACCCATTATTGGCGCCTCTGATGAAGAGGTGATAGTGTCATAGGGTCGACTCTGGAGCCAGGCAGCCTAGGTTCTAACCCCAAGGTCTACCACTTATTAGCTGTGAACCTTCAATGCATTACTTCTGCTTGTTTCCTCATGTGTTAAAACGGGATGAAATCCTCAGGGTTGCCATGTGGATTGAGTTAATTTGGGTAAAGTACACTCAGAACATTGCCTACCATACAGTGACTATTATTTATCTTCATTTGAGAATTACTACTTGATGCTATAATGTGAATGTTCTCTGTATTTTGTCACTGCTTGATAAGCTTTGAATGCTTTCTTGGTTGGCTACAAACTGGTAGATACTGTTTGGTCTAACATACTCCCAAACAGTAGAAATGTCCAGTGCTGCGGGGAGGGATCACCTTGATTATGGCTGTACCTACCCAATATTTCCTATCCAGAAAAGACACTGTAAGAAAATTCATCAGTATATATTAAGGATGCTGGTAATACTATTAATAATGATTGTAAGATTTATCATATTCTGATAGGGGTCATCTTATTTCATCTTTACAATAACCGAGTCAGGTAGGTGTTAATAATATTTATGAATCAGGAAAATGATTCAAATAAATTAAGAAACTTGTACAAAGTTACATACTTAAAAGTGATGGACCCAAGACAATTTCTTTCTTACTTTGGGAATTTTGCCATTTCTCCTGTGACATTTGACCTTCATATGAAGAGAAATTCAGAGCTTATGAGAAATTTCAGAGCTGCAGAGTGAGTGTGTGTGGATAGGCACTGAGGATAGTTTGTGGGTAGCTTTTTCAATTCAAAATGTGGCATTTGCCTCTGTCTTGTGCTCATGTGCCAAGACACATTGGTTTTGATTGACCAGGTAAATTATGTCCAACAATTAAGTTATCCCAAAACTAAGATATGTCAAAAAATTGTAATAAATTAGACTGTTCCATGAGGCTCTAGGTGGTATTTTCCTAAGAAAGTTAAGTTTTAAGTATTTGAGGGGCATTAGCAATCTATTTCATATGAGAGTTAGGTAAAAAATTAATTTTGTGCTGGTATTTATCTTCCCTCATTCTTGTTTTCCTCTTTATTCAAGAAGAGAATTTACTGGGTCAGGTATACACTAGAGATCATGCAAAAGAAAAACTAAAAAAAAAAGTCAATTTAAATATGAAAACCAGAGCAAGCTAAATTCTCTCCAAGGGCCTTCTATATCCAAAGTTGTATACCTCTGAGTTTTCCAATTATTCTAGTATAGTAAAACATTAAATCTGAGTAAATGCCAACTAGCATAGCTAAATCATTCTTAGTTCATTTTTCTAGGAGGGGCAGCAAGAATTTTACATTTGTGTACAGCATTAACCTACTCTTATATGTCCTCTCCAAGCTCCTGGGCCAACCAATATGGTGCATATTCAGCATTCTAAAAACAGGAACTGGCATTGATACTTGAATGTGTCAAAAATATTCTATGGTTATTGAAATGTGTTCAAGGGTAAGTGCCAGCTAAGCCATTTAAACAGATGCACTGTCTTCCTAGATGCAGCGGGGAATCCATGGTTTCTTATCTGAAGGGTTGGCTTCCATTCGCTATTCCATCGGTATTTAATTGACCAAATGCCCCACATAAACCAGGTAGAATAAGAACATCCTTGTCACACTAGGAGTTCTTTAAATTTGAATTCCAGGCAGAAAGAATTTTTTAATGTCTAAAGGGATGGGCGCTTCAAACACTTAGTCAATTGTTTATCTCAGTTATTTTCTCAATTTTGCCAAGTCATAAAATATGAACTGTAAACTTCACAAACTTTACAAACTTTAAAATCAAGTTCATTGATTCAAAATAAAAGAGAATAGAAAGTGGCCACATAGTCAACATTTTTTTGCATTGATGCATCATTTAACATCTTCATAAACTTGGTGGCCTACCCCTTGGTCATCTACCCCTTAACAGAAAGTAATTTTTGGATTCATAGCTCAGTATTCTGCTTACTAGAATTAATAAGGTAATGAGGACTAACCATATGATAGCAGGAGAACATGAAGAGTACTATTTTTGGTCCTCAGGATAAACTGTTCAATTACAAAAGGAATAAAATGTGCAAAGCAACATTTCAAAGTTGCTTATATATATGGTTTCAGTGTTTTTGTTTTTTGTTTTGTTGTTATAGCATTGTGGTCTTTGTAGAATTTTTTGAGCTCTTGTTAGTATTCTTTATTTAAACTGCACTCTTCAAAATTTACTTCCAAGTACTTTCAGTATAATATCTATAATATTAGAGTAAATATACCTAAGAAAGTTGTCAAATATTCTTGAATACTTAATAGGCCATTAAATGTAATGTATTAAGAATAACAAAAAACTTATTTATCTTCAAATTTTGTAGCTAAAATTTTTCAAAATGAATTTAGGGTTTATTCAATATATCTCCTAGCTAATATGGGAATGGTGTCATTTTTTTCTGAGATTTTAAAAGGAAGCTTTACCTTTGTAAGCTCTTTTTCTGAAACAAAGTCCAATAAATTCATAATATTGCATTTTCATAGAGATTTATGTATCTATATGTTTCATCAAATACACACGTTTTAAAATCCATTTTATACTAACAATGCTAAAAATACCACAGGATATTTTTAAAGGGGAATACAACCAAATTCTCCAGTTTCATTCATTGTATAGTTTATAAAATGTGTTAAGATCTAAAGCTCATACACTTGCACAGTTGCTCTAATTTTTCATGTTCTAAACATGGACAATTCAAAAGGGACTGGAGAGAAAATGGATTGGTGAGGAGCTGAGAAAAATGAGTTTTTATTTACTGTGTATTTATCATGTGCCTAGCACTATGTAATATATCATGGTAAATCCTGAAGCAATGTTTGACACTTTTGCTCTCAAAGAGGCTACGCCTAATACAGTTGTGGAAACAAAGCTTGTGTGCATGGAACAGTTAGGAAATGTAAAGCAGACTATGATGCTGAGTTGAGAAGACAATATGATTTCTACCTAAATCAAAATATTGATTGTTGTGCAAGGCTCCTAATCTCTTCAGTTTAACATATGCAGTTTGGATTACAGCGAAGGATAGCCATGAAGTGGAACACATAGTTTAGATGCCTTTGTTATCATCATTGTTGTCATCATTATCATCATCATCATCATTCCCAAACAATTAAGGAGCAATCATAGGCATTATATAGAATGTATTTAAATAAAAACGGTAAATTCCCACAGAAATTTCCAAGATTAACTAGATAACATGGATTAGATATAAAGATAGACAAAAACAGACATCTTTAATACTTCATTTCTCTAGAGTTCCAAGGGCAACTGGAATTTTTCCATTGAGAATGGGAACTAACTCTTTTCCAGGCTGAGGAAAAGGCTTTCTTGGAGGTGATGTGCTTCAGAAGTCTATTAATAGAAGAAAAGCACCTCTATTCTTGTTGTAAATATTTTCCTCCCAACCATATATTGATGGTTAATATATGTCTAATACTTTTTAAACCAAATTATTCTAGAAATCTATTCTTTAGGAGTATACCTTTATTCTTTTACATAAACTAAGGTGTTTTACAACTCATAAATTATTTTAATTCAGTAGGTAATATTTGGTTATAGATTATAAGTATCTGCAACTTATGCTTTTTCTGGTAGTGATGCTCAATAGCAGGTGGGCCATGTCTACCACAGGAATTCTGATGCTTCAATTTTTTATGCTTCCAACTTCCCACTCTTGGTTGAGAGTCAGTACTTCAATGAGTAGCACTTCCTGTAAGGTGTGTGTGTTGAGTTTCTTGGGTATGTTGGCTCAGATACAATATGTACTAGGTGTCTTACATACTTTTAATCATTATGGCAAACCCAACAGATAGATAGCAAATGAAGCCCGATGAGTTTTCATAACTTAATCCAAGTCACAATAAAAAATCCCGTACAAATTCTACTGAACCACTGGGATTAGAATCCTCCATCAAAGATGATTTAGTTTGAATTAAAGTCTGTTACCCCAACCAACACAACCAAATCCTGAGATTTATTTGTTTGTTTGTTTGTTTTTGCATAGAAATAATGGTAAAGTATTTTGTCTCTTTGCTCTTGCTTTGAAGGAATAACCACAGTCCTCACCATGACCACACTGAGCATCAGTGCCCGGCACTCTTTGCCTAAAGTGTCCTATGCTACTGCCATGGATTGGTTCATAGCTGTCTGCTTTGCTTTTGTATTTTCCGCCCTTATCGAGTTTGCTGCTGTCAATTATTTTACCAATGTTCAAATGGAAAAGGCCAAAAAGAAGAAATCTAAAGCTCTCCAGGAAATTCCAGCTGGTCCAGTGCAGAAAGAAAAGCATCCTGAAGCACCTCTGCAGGTATTTGACTTAATCTTCAGTTTAGAATTTGATTTTTTGGGGTCAAATTTACATAGCTAAGTGAAAAAAAGAGAACCTGAAAATGGCAGTGTGTAAGTCATTTAAAAATGCAGGAAAACATGAAAAGGTAATTCTAAGTTTAAGCTTACTGTAGTTTACATTGGTCACATAAATGATTCTGTGATTAAAAAAATTAAAGTCACCTGTTCCTTACGGATTTCAGTTGTACAAAAATAGCATGGTCATAATGAAAGTAAGAAAGCAAGCAGGAAGGCCTCCCCTTTCCCCTTGTCCTCCTTGGATATTCTGCTCTCTCTCTCTCTCATCTCACTCATTCAGCTTCTTCTTTCTTGAATCAGCGAAGTGTCTGTGGTCACTTATACACAGTTTTACTGTAGTTGGCGAAAATGGTAGTCTGAAACTTCTTTTGTTTGTATGTGCCCAAATCAAAGTGTATACAGATTATCAACTTATTTTTTATAGGTAATAACTCATTCCCTTACTTACTCATTCATTCATTCTTTTTTCCCCATTCATTTAACAAATATACATTTAAAACTAATGATGTGCCAGACCCTGTTCATGGTCTGAGAATCAAATTTGTATACCCTCCCATCTACAACAGAATGTCCTACACTATGGAGCTTACATTTAAGTATGTAGAGAAATACATACTTAAATAGAGAAAGGGAGACAGGTGATTCTTAAAAAGACAAGTACTAAAACCCTTGGTGCGTTCCATGGTAACAGGTCTATGACCGTGCTAAAGGAAGGGCTGGAGCAGTGTGAGAAGGATGGGATTCCATTCAGAACACAGTGGTTAGGGAAAGTAAGTTCTCCAAGAGAAGATGACAGTTTAACAAATCAGGTTTGGAGTGCATCCTGGCAGGGATTCACTGTTTGGGTTCTAAGTTTATAACTCTGCGCCTACAAAGCCTGGGGCGGTGGTTCTCCTGGACTGGCATGTGAGCAGGTAGGCAAATTACTGCTCTCCCATTAAGTAAGTTTGGGTAGCTTACATTTTTCTCTATAGATACTCACTTTACTGAGATTTTCAAAATTATTAGGTTAGATTCTGTATACTATTTTTAGTTGGAAAAACTTGGTAGAAAACTTCTATTTACTGTTTCTCTTTTAAAAATATTAATTCCTGGATATGTTATTTATTTACTGTTTCTGTTTTCTAATTAATCATCCATAATTTATTTTAATTCCACCTTTCTGCAGGCAAATTCTGTTACTCTTTTCCCTGCTTCTTGAGTTTCATTCTTACTTTCACTTTTTATTTAATAATACAGTTTTCTTTTATTACAATGAGATTTCTTTGCATATAGCTTTGACCACACTCATAACTTTAAAAACAATTGTTGTTCAATTACAGTTTGTTTTTATTTTTTATTATTGTTCAATCACAGTGCATCTTTTGTTATATGTTATTATCATAGTTATTTGGTAAATATTCTGAAATTATGTTTCCGGTTTTCTTTATAGGCTAAGAACTATTTGGAATAAAATATTGAAGTTTCCCAATGGGATTTTGTTTGCTTATTTAGCTCCAGTGTTTATTTTTAGTTCAGAAATGTCAACCGTCAGATTTGAATGTTATTGACATTTTTGTTACACCCTGAGTGTGCTGGTAGCTTGGAAGTGTTTGATGGCTGTGTGAAAGAGTTGGTTTTTAGTTATGAAATCAACTTACTTAAAAAACTATTATTTCTCCCTCTTAATCAGCCACCTCTTCTCTTTTTAATCTTTCAAATACCAAAAATTATATAAAAAATCCTCTTACTAATAATATGATTATGTGGGATTTTAACTGTTTTTGTTTTATACACTTCGACATTATGATACTCAACATATAAAGATTCATAACTGCTCTATTTCCATATCAGCCTATGCATTTAATCATAAAATAAGCTTTTTTGCCCCATATTATGCCTTTTCCCTTTAATTCTATTTGGTTTGATTATAATACAGTATATTATAATATAATTTCTTAATATTAGGTTTTATAATTTTTTCATTGCTAAATTTTCCTTATTCTTTTGTTGCTCATGTACTTTGGAAGCTATGTGTCATCATTTTATATTACTAGTGGTTAACTTTAAGTTTTAAAACAACATCTTTCTGCTTATGATTTTCTAGTAATGTTGAAATTATAAAATATACTGAGTTTCCCATATAGTTTATTAACTCCCTCCAGACCTAGGATTGCTGACATCCAAAGATTCTGGATGTAGAGACTATATATATGTATATATAATTTCTTTTTATATGTAAAATAATATACAATTTAATACATATAATTTCTATTTATAATGAATTGCTATAGTTCCTCTTTTCATTTTTACAAAGTGTTGAGACTCCTTGCACTATTGTTACACTGGAATATTATAAATACTTAAAAGGACTACTTAATCAAAATAAAACTATTCTGCAGAATTTCCAAAGGTGAGAATGAAACCAATGTTATGTTATTTACTCCTTGATATCTCACTCTTTCTTTTTAAATTGTTGACCCTATTACAGATATCCCCCAACTCCCCCTTTCCTCCCCCCACCCCCAGCCCCTCACAGGCATTCACCACAGTGTTGTCTATGTCTGTGGGCTATGCACTAAAGCATGTATGTCCTGTGGATAATCCTATTGACCATAGCAATCAGCATTGCTGGTAAATGCTCGGATGAGCGCATCCAACTAAGTGTACTTTGGTTCAGCAACTCCTGTTGGCAGCATGGGCCCAGTTCTGCATGCAAATGGAATAATCAAGATCGAGAAGATGCAGTTTGTTTGCAAAGGGCATAGGATCATAGCATTTAAGGGTTGGAAAGAAATTTTATGATAAATGTCAAAATATACATCATATTCTTTCTGTCCTCTACAAGGGGGACTATGTATGTGTGATAACTTAGATCTCCACGGCAGTTTACTTGAACAATGTCAATGTTCTAAAGACAGTGATTAATGGTTGGCCTAACCATCTCCCTGCCTCCAGACTGCTTCCAGAACAAGGCTGGCTTTTGAGTGCCAGTTGTCATTTTATGGCTTCAATATCAAATTGAAGGTTGAAGACATATTAAAATTGAGGGAGTGAGAAGGAAAAAAAAGAAAAATAAGGAGAAGGAAACAAGAAGGGGAGTGTGTTAATAGAAACATTTTAAAACATGTTACTGAAATGAAATATCCTAAAAATCTTATAGGTTTGGGGTTTTAGTAGAGATTCTAATCAGACAGGTGACATGTGCTTATTCAAATATGTGTTCTAACTTTTATGGCTATTGACTGATTCGAATGATGTTGCTTTTGTTTAAAATGTCTTTAAACTCTTCTTTTGGAATTGCCTTCACAGTCTACATGACATTTGGTAATTTGTTAGTCCTTTGGTTAAGCTCAATAGTGGTTTAATTCATTGTTACTCCATGTGACCTGTGGACTGTTAATGGCCTGGTAGAGGTTTATAGTGACCATTTTTATTCTTGGAAAATTGGAAAGAAGGCTGATTGGCAGAATCTAAAGCAGCGATGGGCAGCTTGAGTATGTCTTTGAGCAGCTCGGGAGGCAAAAGCAGCTGTTCTGTTTTGGCTCAGCATTACTTTGATTCTGCCTTTGACTCTATCCTTTTACTATTGAGTTGAGGGCCATTCTTGTGGTGTTATTCTTCCATACCCTTACTAGTTCTTAGAGTGACTACTGTTTCACTGATGAGGGTGATTTGGACTAATAGAATGTTTTTGAAAACTAAGCAACTATAAAATACAGAGCAAATATTTCTTAATGAAATCATGTTTTAAAAAGTCACTTGGGAATACAATATATTCTATGGACCTTGTTCAGTCAGAAAGTATACACTAATATATGCATACTGTATCTTGAGAAAAAACTGTGATATAATAATTAACATCACTTGAGCTCTTAAAATGTGTTAGGTACTGTGTGATATGCTTTAATGTATTGCATAATTTTGAACTCACAAGGACTATTTTACAGATGAGGAAACTGAGGCTTATGGTGGCTCAGTGATGTATTAAAGAAATGGTTAACTCAATATTTAAATCAATACAACTGTGTCTGAGTTCAGAGCTTGTCTTCTGAAAGTATACTTTTTAGTATTTAATTTATGATATGTCTATGAAGAAGATGTTAATATACATAACCTAGTCTAACACAGTCTTTTGTTAATATTTCTATGAATAAATAACAATAGTGCAACACTCTGAACACATAAGTAACAACATTACTTATATGTGCCAGTAATAACAACTTTTACAGATTATATCTATATATAACATCTAATTCTTAAAACTTATATATGTTCTATTTTTATCCATGTTTTAACTAGTGAGAATATTAATGAGTAGTGATCAAGTAGTCTGCCAAAGCTCATCTGTCTGTTAAGCGGAGGATTGAGCCCACAAACCCAATATTTTAAGCCTTTGGCCTAATAACTGGTTAGAAATTTGGGGTGAGGGAAATGGAGGTTGAGATGGATGGTGATGGCATCATTCACTGGGATAGAGAAAGGAATGAAACACACTTAACGAAGAAGCTAAGTGGTTCAACTTTACATGGGTAGAAACTTCCATAGTAGGACATTTTCTCCTATCCCAAGATAATGACAACTATTTTTAAACTACAGGTGCATACTTCTCCACTGCTTACCTTTTATTCCCCATCTACCTATTTTTTGGTCTATTTTTCCACTGTAACTATTCTTCACAAACTTCAATTTTAAAGTGTCCATATTTCTAGAATTAGTTATTTGCTCTGCTGGAAGTTTTTAAGAAAAAGGCAGTATAAAAAGAGAATGTATAAGTAATTCCAGGTACACTTTGAATTCCACAATGTCAGAGCACTCGGGAGAATCTCCTCTTTTACCAGCCATCCTTCAAAATCAAACTCTAGCCTTATTTCCCATGTTTGGCTTATCCTGACTGATCTGACTTCAGGGGCGAGGTCTCAAGGACCCACATCTACACACCAGGGACCAGGAAAGCTTGCA